ATAGCAAAATGGTCGAGATATACAGAGTGTGAAAGAACGAACAAGAATGTTTTAAGTAGAGTTTGTAAGGAAGAGAGAAACAAAACAGCACATAACAAAAAAAGTAGAGAGAAAACGTTGTACCTGTAAATGATGTGAGTTGGAAAGACGAGATCCATTTGTTCTACTGACTATTTAATAAGTTAAAGGTTTCACGCCTAATGCTTTCTTTATCGCACAGAACACGAGCTAGGTAGGGTATGGATGAGTTTTTGTACTTACTAGTGCGGGCATATAGTTTCCTATATAGGCTTCTGGTTTTCCCTGAAGAGATACATGGGGAGAGTTGTGAATGTAGAGGGTGTTGTGAGTCAGATAAAATGGATTTCGCCCATTTTTCACATGAGTCCATGTGCCTGTCCACCAGAATATTAACAAGCTGGCTAAGTGGCAAACTGCTTACCCTGCTGACAACCTTTAACATCCTACGTAATAAGGTATAGTCTTTCTTCAATAGCCCAGGAAAGACTAAGGGGGAACAATAGAGAATAATAGGCAGAATACGGGAGTTAACAAATTGTAGGAGTAAGGGTTGGGTTACACCAGAATGTCTTAACTTCTTGATGTAGAAGGTAAGACGGAATATTTTCTTGGAAATCGTCAAGATATGAGACGACCAGGAAAGATCAGAAGATAGAGTGACGCCTAGGTATTTAATTTCCGACTTGGTTTCAATTTCAGTGCCATCTATGTTGCACACCTCGTGAGTGCTAACCAGTTTGTTTAGGTCAGATTTGTGCCTAAAGGTGAAATTAACTGTTTGGCATTTGGAGGGGTTTAAGGTGAGACCGTTTTCCTTGGACCATTGGCTGATTTCTGATAAGAAGCCATTTAGTTTAGAGCAGTCACTTTGACATTTGACAGGTAAAGATACAGTTAGGTCATCAGCATATTTGACAAAGTTAATGTCATTTGAAGATGGTAGGTCATGTAGGAAGAATGAAAAGAGAAGTGGGGAGAGTACAGCACCTTGGGGGACACCAGCTTCAGTGAGCACAGCAGAGGAGGATTCGCCTTTGTATACGGTGTACTGCATTCTGTTTGAAAAGTAGGAATGCAACCAGTTAGTGACCCAGGACTCGGTTTGTGTCATGGAGAGCTTATTTAGCAAGAGACATCTAGGTACAGAGTCGAAAGCAGAAGTGAAGTCAAGAAACGTGCAGCGGACATATTTGGCACCTTTGTCTAATGATGAGACAATACTGTTGTGTAAGACGGCTGCAGCGTCTAAAGTACTCCTACCCTGTCTGTAGGCAAATTGTTTGGGGTCTTCGAAGCTTTTAAGGGAGGGTTCGAGTTTAAGAAGTACTAGTTTTTCCATGAGCTTTAGAAACGGGGAAGTGATGGCAATGGGTCTGAACTTTACGTTCTTGCTATTGCCAGGTTTAGGGACAGGGACTATTTTAATGTCTTTCCATGGAACAGGTACAACGTTTTCGGAGAAAGAAGCATTTAGGATATTAGTTAGAGGAGAACATAAAGCATCTGCACATTGTTTTAGAACATATGCAGGTATGCCATCAGGGCCAAGACTATGTGAGGGCTTAAGAGTTTTAAGACATTTCAAAACATCGAGAGTATTAAAGTCCTGGAAGTTATCAGCTACAAGATTAGTAACGTTAGAAGTGGTTATAGTAGAAGGAGAGCGTATAAAAGACAGATTAAGAGCATTAACATCACAAGAGGGAAAAACATTACATCGCTTACTATTGCCAGTAATTTCATTGAAAAATTTCCACATGCTGTTAGGAGATTTGCATGATAAAAGTGTTTGGTTATAGATAGCATTAAGATTTTTGATTTCAGATTTGATTTGAGCATTAATCTTTTTAAGTCCTAACTTGTCTTTGCATTTATATAACATTTCTTTTTGCCTGCGAAGTTGTTTGAGATGGGGAGACGAGAAGCGGTCGAGGCGTTTGAACAGTGTTTGTTTGGGACAGCATATGTCGAGGCAGAACTTAAGATAATCCATTATATTGGTGATTGAGTCATCTAATGTACTTTCATAGAATAGATCCCAGTTGGTATCTTTTAACATGCATCTTAGATTGAGTAAGTTGTCAGATGTGTAGCATCTTTGTTGTGCTTTCGTAGACAGGTGTGAGAAGATTTTAATATGTGTTTTGCTGTATATTTTTGGCAAAACGCGGACAATGCAGTGATCGGAGTTAAGTATCGGTGAACGTCTACGTGTTTCATATACTCCTTCGTCATTAGTAAAAACTAGATCGAGTGTTTTGTCAAGTCGAGTGGGAAATTTGACTATGTTTGTGTGACCAAGAGCTTCAAGAAAGGAGCAATCTGAGGTGTTGAAGTCTCCAGTAATAACGGATAGAGAGTTGTCGAAGTTGGCAGCAGCAAACATGGTGAATTCATCAGCAAAATTAGATAGATCAGATGGAGAGCAACTAGGAGAAATGTACATGTTTGTAATATAGAATTGTTTATATTTGGGGAGATGTTTGGGGCGACATTTGACAGTAATACAGTCAATGAAGTCATTTGAGAAGGTGAAGCAGACGTTATTTGAGACAGACCATTTGGAGTGAATAAAAGTTGCAACGCCACCACCATTTTTCTTATTACAACATTGACGGTCTTGACGAAATAAAATAAAGTCCTTTAGTGAGATAAGGTTGTCATCATACAGTTCATGCAACCACGTTTCTTGTAATGTGATTATGGCGGTGTTATGATACGTATCAGTTGACATCAAGGATTGTAGGTACATTATCTTGTTTGGCAGAGAGCGACAGTTTGTGTTCATTATGACGGGGACCGTAGTTAAGTGTATTGGTGTACGTTTGAGAGCTCTCTGCCAACCACTACGATGTTTCCTCCTTGGTTTCTTTGGAATATGAAAGTCATTTGGTCGTAAATGATTAATAAAGTTACGAGAGTAAATGATTCTGTTAGAATTCATATTTAGGTGATAAATATATGTTGGTAAACAGTAGAATAATAATAATTTTTCCTTCACATTCCCAGTGGAACATAGGGCTCCAAGCTAGTGGCTTAAAGTTTCTGTAGCAGTGTTTAATTTTTACAGGATGGGGTTGCCAGCCTCATGCTCAACCCTTCCTCTTTACCAGCATTATTCCTGGCTCAGTGAGGTAAAGGAGTGCGTCGGTGGCCGGGAATAGAACCCCGGACCATGTTCATGGTCGGCGAGCGTTCTAACCGCCATGCCACCAATGCACCCTAAGCACGATACCCAGTTGAAACGACATTTGAACGAATTAAGCAAAATATTTCTTCTACAGGAACACCCGGACAGTTTTCAAAGAAGTTCGTTATGCGTTTCAACATTCAGTTCACGGACTATATAATCCCATCTTGATAAGATTCAACCCTATCTAGTCCATCTGTCAGCTGATTTATTACGTTTTGAAATATTGCAGGAGATCGTCAAACCAAAAGGCAAGAACTTATCCAGCCAGCACTGACTTAGGGAGCACTGTAGAAAGATTGAGTGAGACTTCGAGGCACTTCAAGAACTTAGAAGCAGACTGCAGATAACTATCCCACTTTCTACAGTGCACCCGATGGAAATGCTAGCTGGGTTATACTTAAGCATTTCAAGTGGAGTATTAGTGGTTGTTTTCTGGTAGACTGTACTCATCTAGTCCAATCTGAGTAATAAAATGAGCTGGAATTTTTTCATCTCCAACATTATTCGGAAAACACCATATATCAGGGCGTTTGAGGCAATCAGATATTTCAAGCAGTGGACTGTTTCTAGGATTCCTTACAGGATTACTGTGAATGCGCCGGCCGGGGGTCGAACCCCGGACCATATCCATGGTCGGCAAACGTCCTAACCGCTATACTACCGACGCACGGGAAACAGTAGACTGGATGCAAAATGTAGATATTATAGTAGCAGGCCCAATTCGAACAGGAACTGTGTATTTCGTAGATGCCCAGGTGTCGGACCACAATGTTTGTTTGCTGACCGGATATTACTTCTTATACGGAAGTAAATTTCTACTGTCAGTTACGTACTACTTATAACACTGAGCAGACATCATTCTTACGCAGATACTTTTGATATATCCTATTAATTCGGGATTTATACGTTAGTAAGATAATTTTATGAAGTATTCATCTGGTGCATATCTTCATTTTTATTATTATATTGGTTGTTCAGATCATTAGCAAATTATTGTTCAATATATTCTTGTCCTGTGTGTCGTTGGTTCAGGTGTGTGAGGTTAGATTCCCGATCGACATACTCCTAATCCCCACTAAGGAGGTGGCGAGACCCGTTTAGAGGGAAGGTTGAGCGTGAGGCTATCAACCTAAACTTTTACAATAAAATCACTGCTACTGAAACTTCAAAGCTCTAGCTTGAAGCGCTATGTTCCACTGGGGACGTAAAGGAATAAAGCCAAAAAAATAAATAAATAGTATTCCTGTAGTATGGTCATTAACGACCAGCAGTCCATGTTAGTTCAAGTTTGATCACGGATTGATATCAGTTAGAGGGACACTGAAAGCTGGCAGAGGGAGTATTGGAAAGCTGTTTCGTTTTGTGGCTGATGTTGGCGCCAGAAAATCATGGGCTGGTCATTAAGGAGTCGGATCTCACTTGCTTGGATGGTCTATGAGCTTGCAATGTAACCGAAAGGTTCTGGGTTCAAATCCTGGTGGTGAGTAATTCCGATGACTCCTGGACTAGTACGAGACAGCTGTCCAGTACTCCCATCTAGTTGCCAAAGCTTCTCTAACTGATATCAATCTGTGGGCAAATGTGAAACCAATCAAAATCCCTACAAAGTATTTTTTCAAAATTAGTGTTACAGTGCAAAATATTTCAGTATGGAGTGGTTTTGAAGTCTCTATCTACGTGTTTATAGATAATATATTTGTATAAATGTTTCTAATATCATAAACCGTAAGAGATCAATGCAAATTAATTTATTTAAGGAAAAACAGTGAGAGATTATCACCAACAGAAATTAATAGTATTATAGTGGTTTTTCTTTTTCAAATGATTTTATGGTTCTTCAGTTTCATCTTCATAATAAGTTGAACTTTCGGAGGATTCCTTACCACCTACGGGAATACAAAACAGATTTACATTAATATAATAGTAAAATGAGTAAATCCACATCCATTTATTTGATAAAGGTATAAATAAGCACAAGTACAGACTAGTTGAACACATTTCCCTGGGTATTGCCTCATTTTTACGTTGATATTATCAGCATCCATTCAAAAAATCAATAAGGCGTTTAAACAGTTAGATTAGAAGAAAAATCTCCACAACAATGGCGTGTTTAAATTCATTGCAATGTCCGAATTGGTTAGCAGTTTTCAATCAATCTAGCTAGGTAGATAGTTAGCCAGCCACCTCTCTGAGGTGAGTCAAACCGGCTAGGTACACCACTGTTAAGCTCCGTCCACAGTCGGTGTTTAGATCACCTCGATTTGGTTAGCTGATAAGCCCTACTACTGGTTGATGTGTGAGTGAGTGGTGCACAACTACTACTCATCTCTATTAACCAGTAGTATCTAGTTTTACTCAAGACATTTCATGCAATAAATACATAATCTTGTCAGAAATTTAATAGACACTGATAAGTAGCAACATCTAGCCACAATTTTGTTTATCTGGTAGATGGTGACTAGCAGTGGAGTCCAGGATAAAGCGGATTTCGTCTTATTTGGGAGTCGTCAGCTGGATGTACCTGCATTTCCCAGTGAGTGATGATGTACCCACCACCGAGGCTCGAACTCAGTGCCCATAGTTTCAAACACCTGGGCCGCGAGAGCTACTGCCTCTTGTGCAACGGGTCATGTTAATTTAATTGAATTTTAGATACTTCCATCGATTGATTGGACCGAAGTGCTGAGTTCGAGCCTCTGTGGGAACATCATCACTCACTGGGAAATGCAAGTACATCCAGCTGACCACGAGTCCCAAATAGGTCGAAGTGCGCATCCCGGTGGATTCCACTACTAGTCACCATCCACCAATTAAATTCTAATTACATGTCCAGACATCGTCGAAGCATCTGCACAAGAATCCGACATGTCAACCTGAGACCGAGCACTTCGGTCCAATCAATCGACGGAAAATCTAGAATTCGATGCAATTTTGTTTGTTTAAAATGTATATGGCTATACTTTTAAAGCATTTAATGAAATTAAAACAGTTTTATAGTCCTAAGTATTAAGTACTATTATGGTTACTTACTTTTTGGGGATGAAGAGGTCTTTAGATGTTTTTCAAATAGATTGTTCAACTCAGTTGAATTCTTTAACATCCCAGTGATATCCAACTCATTTAATTCTTTATCCAAATTATCAGAGTACCATATTCTTCTTGATATCATTTTTCCTTCAAAAAAAGAGTTACGTAATATATACATGATAATGCTTTCAAACGTTTTACGTCTTATGAAAATTTATGCTTTAAAGAAACAGTCAAATAATAATCTATTGAACAGGATAGAACAGAGAGGTAATCACAGATATGTTCGTTTTATGAATCTGATCACCTTGTTCACCTTTTTTGTCTGTATCGAACACCTAAACCATCTATTATTATTAATAATATTATTATTATATCCTTTAATTCCTAGAGGGCTTCGGCTGCGCGTCTCCATTACGTTCGGTCTTCTGCCAACTTTTTCACCCCGCTCCAAGTCTGCCCACATGCTTTCATCTCCTGTTCATATGACCTCCCCCAAGTCACCTTTGGACGACCAACTCGCCGCTTCCCTTTCGGGTTCCACTCGAGGGCTTGTCTAGTGATGTCACTTGATGGTTTCTTCAGAGTACGGTCAATCCATCTCCATTTCTGCCTGCATACATATTTGTTTCACAATCGGTTCCTCCTGGGTTGGTTCACTCATTGCCAGAGATACCTATTGGTGATCTTTTCTAGCCGGCCATCTGATCTTGAGTATCGAGCGAATATAACTGTTAATGAAGGTTTGAAGTTTGTTTGAGATGCTTTTTATGACGCGCAGTGCAAGTCTCTGATCCGTAAAGTAGCATGTACTAAAGTAGTATGTACTAACATGGATGCAAGTGAAAAGTACAGCAGGAGGAAGACAGAAGCAAGTGGAGACGTACAGTTGAAGCCCTATGTTCCACTAGGAAGCCAAGGGGACAATAATAATAATATTTTCAACACCCAAGATTTTTCAATTTTTTTTATCCATTTCCAATCAAAATTTATTTGATTTTAGTGACATTTTGAAATAAGTGATCATAAATATTTGATGACTGTTCGCACTTTTCAATGAGTACAAATGTCTACCAACAAGTGACCCTCAAAATGAGTTCACTTCAATTTATGTGGTTTTTGACTATATATATATATTTGGATGGTTGATAAATTCCGAGCAATTCTACTGAAGAAGCTGTAGAGCTTACATATCGAAACGTTCAGAGAAATCTTTTTTTGATGATTTTTATTACAAGCCTGGGATAATAATATTTTAAGTCATTTTATAATGTTTCACACTCTGACTCAGCGCTCAAATTATTTTCAGAAATTTCGTAACATCTATTATCTAGAATATTTATAATGAGTAGAAGTTTGATGAAAGTCATTTAAGGCTGAATTATTTATCCAACCTATGAAGGAGAACTGAAAATATGCTATTATATTATGAATATTCATGAAAACTAAGTCTTTGAAAGATTAGCCTGACAGATTTATCATTTTGAAAGTAAATATACTTGTGATTGTTTGGTGGATTTCATTGTGAGCTGAAATCAGTTAGAGAACGACTAGAAAACCAACAGGGAGTACCGAACCCACCACCAGGGTTTGAAACCACGACTTTCTGAATACAAGGCCACTGGGACCCGATCTATTAGCCAGCCCATGAATTCTAACTTCCACCAATTCATGATGAAGTCCTTCAATCAATTAAACAAAATCCCTAGAAAAGTAATCCTTGAAAACAAATATTTTTGTTAAGGATTTTAAATTGTATTTTAAGGAGTAAAAAATTACAAACTACTTACTTGGTTGTTTATTTGGCTCATCTATTGGTAAAAGCATCTTGAGAATATGATTTAAATTCGCCTCTTTATCCAAAAATTTATCAACTTTTTTATCATTTAGTCTATTAACAGTCTTCGGTGCTGTGAACCAAGATGTTTCAGTCTCTATTTCATGTTTATCTTGAAAGTTTAATAGAAATAATTATATTAAATTATATTAGGAGTAAAAGACTATCTAAACAAGGGATGAAATAAGATTCTAATTCTTAAGAATTCTAGTTACTGATGATTTTGTTTTTCTATTCGCATTAGTTAGTTTGTAGGGATTTGATTTATTTCAAATTTGATAGGTGTTTTGGCCTAGTTTTATAGACTCATCGTCGGTACCCAGCCGCTGGGGTTTTTTAACTCAGGCACCTTCCAGAGTATTTGGTCACTGGGATCCAACTCTTCGATGGCCAGCGCATACATTCTAACTTCTACCGATTTTGTGCGACTGATACTAGCCAGTATCATCGACGGTGAGTATTTCTCCTTACTGCCGACTGAGTGTATTATGCCTTGTTGTCCTATAATTTATCACTGGAATTTCAGTCACTAGTGAGCATGTCAACCCTGGGCAACTCTTTAGACTCATCAAGGAAACGGGTGGGAGAAGGCAAATCATAAGTGAGACTATTTCTGAGAAAAATGGCTCCTTAATTAGCTCTCAGGATCGATGCCTTGAACGATGGAAAGAACACTTTGAGGAACAATTTAACTTGCCTACAGCCACACTGAACCTCCCCGTCATCCAGCACACACCTGAATGGGATATAGACACTGGTCTGCCGTCTGTAAGTGAGGTCACAAAAGCTATCTGTAATTTGAAACGAGGCAAAGCGGCAGGACCCGACGGAATTATTCCGGAGGTGTTTAAATATGGGGGTGACATACTGGCATGTAGATTAACTAAGGTACTAGGCAACGTTTGGGAATCAGAGACGGTTCCACCAGACTAGGGTAAGTCACTTATTATACCGATATTCAAGAAGGAAAGCAAGTCCTCTTGTGATAATCATAGGGGGATCAGCCTAACGAATATAGTTTCTAAAATCCTAGGCTCACTGATCATGCGCAGACTAAGCAGAACTCGGGAGGAACAAACGAGGGAAAATCAAGCAGGCTTTAGACCAGGTAGAGGGTGCATGGATCATATTTTCACTCTCCGACAGATTCTAGAACACAGACACACTTTTCGGCGTCCAACAATTGCCATATTTTTTGACTTGAAAGCGGCCTTCGACTCCGTGGATCGAAAGGTACTATGGCAATGTTTGACTGTGAAGGGAGCGCCAAGAAAGTACATTGCACTAATCAAGGCACTCTATTCAAACTCACGTAGCTGTGTAAGGGCTTATGGGGAATTGTCATCTGAATTGATAACAACCAGTGGTGTCTGACAGGGATGTCCACTTTCCCCATTTCTTTTTAACTTCATCATAGGGAATAGTCTTACGGACTTAAAATATGCAGATGACATAGTCCTGTTAGGGGAGGATGCTGACAAAGTGCAGAGTCTTCTGAACACCTTGAGCAGCAATCTTCGTATGTTCGGTGTGCAATTCGCCCCTGCAAAATGTAAGATGCTGCTACAGGACTGGACCACGTCAACTCCTAACTTAGTGATATGGAGTGAAGTGATAGAACATGTTGACCACTTCACCTATTTGGGAAGTTGTATTAGCACCAACGGACTGATTGGCGATGAAATCTCAGCAAGGATCCAAAAAGCTCGAGCTGCTTTCGCTGACTTACACCATCTCTGGCGTAGACGTGACATCCGGCTATCAATCAAGGGACGTGTGTACTGCTCAGCAGTTCGCTCCGTTCTTTTCTATGGCTCTGAAACATCGCCAATAGGTGTTGAAGATGTGAAAAGGTTGACTGCTTTCGATCATAGATGTCTGCGATCTCTTTCTCACATTAAATGGTGTAATAAGGTAAGTAATGTCGACGTTAGGCGTAGAGTGTTGGGCAAACAGGGAAAATCAATCGACGAGGCTATAAAGTTAGATGGATTGAGATGGCTAGGTCACGTGCTGCGCATGCTTAACCATCGCCTCCCCCGACGGGCATTACTAGCTGATATAGGTGCAGGTTGGGAAAGAGTAAGTGGTGGCCAAACAAAAACATGGCCTCATCAATCCATGAAATCCTTGACAGTTAAACTGAGTAAGGTAGGTAGGGAGATGCAGACTTCCGGGTTAGGGCGCTCGGGACTCTAGGAGTCAATGGCTGGAGACAATATGTGACATGGCTCAAAGTCGTTGTCAATGGCGCAGATATATTCAGTCTCTGTAATCTTTCATATTTCTTTCTACCATTACACATTCTGTTTCACTCTTATACTTGTCAAACTCTATTGATTCTTTTCAATCATCTTCTTGTCTATCTTTGTGTGCTATTTGGAACGTGGCGACTGGAACTGGTGCACTTCGGTGCCAAGTTCTATGCTGAATCCAGACAGAGACAGATGTATTCGAACACACCAACTGAAACTTTCACTGTTAGTCAACATAATTTATCCAAAATGAAAAGGAAAAATGTATCAAATAGTTTGTTACTTTCATCAAATCTACTCACCTGAATCATTAGTATTATTATTATTTGTTGTAAGAATATTTTTCGCCTGTTTATTGATATAATTCAGTATATCCTTGTCAGTCACATTTTTGTCGCCTATTTTTACAATCCATGTAGTCTCTGAGATTTCATCATCATCTAAAAAAAAAGAAAGAAGAAATTTGTAAAGCTTGAATGAATTGAGTCATTTAAAAAAAACATTAAATTAATCATTGAACAATAAAGGATGAATGTGTGTGGTGAAGTGAAGTGGTATAATAAGGTGAGCAATATTGAGGTTAGGCATTGGTCGAGTGTTAGGCTAAGTAAGGAGGGGAAATCAATCGACGAGGCTGTGAAGCAGCTGCATCGATTGAGATGGCTAGGACATGTGTTACGCATGCGTCCCTAGTCATCGCTTTCCTTGACAGACGGGCAATGTTAGCTGACATAGGGTCAGGCTGGAAAAGAGCTAGCCAGTGGTGGTCAAACCAAAACATGGCTTCATCAGTCAGTCAATGAAATCTACAACAGTTAGTTTAAGCCAGCCACGTAAGAAGATGTAGACTTCCTGACTGGTTGGGGTCTTCGGGATGTTAGAAACCAGTGAAGGCTGAATACAATTGGTGATATGGCTCAAAATCGTTCTCAATGGCTGGCTCAGATGCATTCACTGCTTGTGACTTGTGATTTCCAATAAAACTGTTTTGTTCTTCGTTATTACTACTCCTTTGTCTAACACCTCTGTTTACTGTCTCTATTCTTCATTTCTTCTACCTTCTCTTGCTTTGTGTGTTACATGGAGGGACTGTGGCGACTTGAACAGCTGCACATCGGTGCAAAGTTCTATGTCGAGAATAGACAGACAGACAGACAAAGTATGAGTGTGTATTTCAATGAGGGAAACTAAATTTATTTGTTAAAATTCAATTATAATATCTAATGAATTCATTGCATATAGACCTTATAAGGTTAGGTAGGTAGAGAAGAAGTATGGAGAGGAAAGAAAGTTGTTTATTTTTCATACTGCTAAGATTCATAGACATGTTACATTAATATTGATTGCCCTCGACGTGGTCTAGCCATTGGACATATGTTTCTAAAGTAATCATTTGTAAATTGTTGCTATTATACATAAGCTTCTTGAACTCTATCTACAGTCTCCTCCTGAACTAACTGTGACAGTCTTCCGATTTGAGAATAATAATAATAAGAAAGACTCCTTTAAGGTGTACCTGTATTTAGAAACAAAAATAAAATGTATTATAAATATCTTATGTGCCTAAACGTGCGTCGGTGACACACAACAGTGTGGTGATTACCGACCACGCTTCAGGTTGGTCCGGGATTCTATCCCCGGCCAACGACCCACTCCTTTATCTAGCTAAGTCAGTAGTAAGACTGGTAAAGAGGGAACGGTTGGGTGGAGGGCATAAGGCTAGCAACCCTATCCTGTAGAAGTAATTCATTACCAGCGCTACAGAAACGTCTAGCTGGCTCTAGCTTGAAGGCACCCTATGTTCCAATGGGAACGTGAAGGAATAATAATAGAAAAATATACACCTAAATATATCAGTATATTTTGCCAGGAATAATTTGCGACAAAATACTAGAATATATATTTGGTGTACAATTGGTGGATGGTGGCTAGCAGTGGAATCCAGGATGCGCATTTCGTCCTATTTGGGACTCGTGGTCAGCTGGATGTACCTGCATTTCTCAGTGAGTGATGATGTTCCCACCACTGAGGTTCGAACCCAGTACCCATAGTTTCAAACGCCAAAGCGTTATCCACTAGACCACTTGGGCCACGAGAGCCACCTCTTGTGCAACGGGTGCAACGGTACTGGTTCGAACCTCGGTGGGAACATCATCACTCACTGAGAAATGCAGGTACATCCAGCTGACCACGAGTCCCAAATAGGACGAAATGCGCATCCTGGATTCCACTGCTAGCCACCATCCACCAATTGTACACCAATTAAACACCCAGACATCGTCGAAGCATCTGCACAAGAATCCGACATGTCAACCTGAGACCGAGCACTTCGGTCCAATCAGTCGACGGGAAAATCAAAAAATTCAATTCAAGAATATATATTTGTCCAAACCAAGTTCACTTTTAACGGTTTGAAAAAATAAAGTGCTTGCTTAGAATGTGATGCGATCTACATTGGACAAATATGTCAAGAAATCAAAATCAGAAGAAATTAACACCATAGAGCATCTCTTCAACCACCGAGAAATCCATTTAAACTAGAAAAACTTGAAAAATCATCAGCTATAGGTCTACACGCTATAGAATAAGGCCACAAAATTGATTTTAACAATATTGAAATCATCATCCAGAAAAAGCATTTCAGAAATCACAAAGAACGTCTAACATCATCAGAAGGACTTCATATCAAATGGAATCCAAATTGTCTGAGCTGAATAGGAATGATGGACTGAAACAGAATCTGACCTGGTTACAACACTCCCGCCCTCCCCCATGAAATGACAAAATCAGCATGAATATGATAAGCAAGTTCACTATACAAACACACACTGCTTTTATAATTTTACACACTGATCAAATCCAACAATGTACACCCAGTTTTCTTATCTTTATTAATTGACCAATTTGATAACGAAAAATGACCCCAGACTGACGAACGATGATCAAGTTAGTAAACTTTGTTTTGATATCATAACAGATGTACTATTACCTTTGTTATTTGGTTTAGTGATCTTCATTGCTATTTTGACTTTCTGTAAGTCCCTTTAACTAGACCTATGTCTATTTTCTCACCTCGTAACTTTTTGTCATATATATGCTGAGATTTTGTAAATTCCAGTTTAATAATACTACTTTGATAAAGCTATTAGCAGCAGCTTTAAATAGCGAAACGTCAGTAAAAACAACGACAATATCGCTTTGCTCTTTTTCATTCATTGGGAAATTCAAAAACCTTTATTATAATGAAAATACTAGAATATGTTTTATTTGTTGTCTCAACTGTCTGCTCTCTTGCAGGCGTGTTGATATTTTAAGCGTAATGAAATCTGGTTGCCTACACAAAATGAATGAATTTCATATAATAGTGATAATAATAATTATTATGTCTTACAGTAATCATCATTTGACATAGGCGGGTTCTTTTGATTATAGATCACAGTTTTCTTTATAACTGGTTTGAAAGGATCTACAGGCGGTTTTGCATGAGTTGTTTTTTGTCTTTTTCGATGTTCTATCGGTTTGTTCGTCTTTGGAGAACTGTCGGTGTCTTCATAGTACTCCACATCACCATCGGCATCATCAGTCAGTGTATCTGGTAGATGACAGAAAATAATAACAATATATATGGTGTGAACACGAAGTCGTTAGTTAAAGTTAAGAGAAGCGTCAGTGTAAAGACAATTGACGTGATGATATAACACCAAAAGGAGGGGGTAGCTTCATTGTAGCTCAGCGATGTTGAAGGGACTACACGAAGAGTATTTTTCAAGCGTTATTTTCACATGCTGAAGTCGAATATATACACGACTATAAAAAAAAAACAACACAAAATTACAACTTGTACGCCATAGATTTGTAGATTACTGATGAGCGTTGTAACGAAACCTAAAGCAGCAATCCTATTAATGTGACCAGAAAAACAACAACGAAGTTACTGCGGATAACCATAAGAGAAATCAGCACACATTGAAGTAAGCAAAATGAAGCGAATATGATAATCTGAAGGACTACGCAAAAATAAGCGGTAGGCTAAACTGCATAACAACGGGAACATATATATAACAAAATATTTAATGCATAGATAAGCCGCAGTGATTGCGTCGGAGTGACCTAAAAATCACACGTCACCAGAAAGATAGAGTTAAAAAAAAAGAAACACCCAGAATATGCCGATAAAAAAAACCTCCAAAAACGCGGAAGCAAACTAAATTGAAAGCCTGGTAACAAGTAAAAAAATATAAAGGAAATTAAAAAAATCCCAGAAAACACAATTGGGAGACGAGACAAGGAAAAAACAAAAAGATTACCATGTTCAAAAAAGCCGGAATGACCGAGTGAGCAGACGATGAGAGCTGATATGTTGAGTGAGATGTGTACTGGACGTGGGGACTTACGTTTTGGTGAGACGGTGGCTGGCGTCGATCTGGTTCGTTTGTGTGATGGTTTAGTGTGTCGTCGAGGTCGTCTCCTTCTCTTTCCGAACCTGTCAATGTAGTAGATGTAGAGATCGTCATCTTCGGGTGTGGTGGTGGACGGCTCTCCACTGTCTGACGTTGACTTGGGTTCTGAAACGGAAGAGAATGGGATAGATTGAGATTGATGTGTGATATGATGTGTGTGTGTGGGTGGGTGGATTGAGAGACGCTGACAGTGTCAGTGTTTGAGTGTGTCTGTTTTGTGTGTGTGTGTGTGTGACAGTTTCTGTGTAATTGTGTTGTTGTTTTTGGTGTTGGTGGTGTTTGTGTGTGGTGTGTGCCTGAGTGTGTGGTTGTGGCGTGGTTCAGAGAGAATGGATGAGATAGTCCTCAGTCACCACTGACCTGTGCTGTCATCGCGTGTCTTCCATGTGTGTCCATGTGAGGCAGAGTGGAGGTGGTAGTGATCTACTCAGTGCATCAGTGGTGTGGCTCAGTGTCATCCTCGAATCCTGCGATCTCTCATCCTGTGACCACGTCCGGTCGCCAACAGTCCGTCTTCGTCTCAACCATTACAGCTGGTCACTGGTGGCTTGGTTCTGCCAACACCATTGACGGTGGAGTATCACGTCGTTGTGTGTGCGTGCGTTCGTGTGTGTGTGTGTGTGTGTGAATTTCGGTATTGTATGCGCTGTCGTCTGTGAGTGTGACTGAGATGGTGTCTGTTGATGTGTGTATGTTTGTGTGTTTGTCTGTGACAAAGACTGTGGAGTCATTTGTCTTTGAGTTTGTTGGTGACGAATTGACTTGAGTGAGCGTGATGTGTGAGTAGAGTGAGATGTGATGTACACTGTTTGTCGGGGAGATGAAAGACTCCGACGTGCATAAGGGAGACAAGACGGAGGATGATCCGCGTCAGGGGAATGGAATTGAGTCGAGAGAGTAGTCGATGAGAGCTGATATGTTGAGTGAGATGTGTACTGGACGTGGGGACTTACGTTTTGGTGAGACGGTGGCTGGCGTCGATCTGGTTCGTTTGTGTGATGGTTTAGTGTGTCGTCGAGGTCGTCTCCTTCTCTTTCCGAACCTGTCAATGTAGTAGATGTAAAGATCGTCATCTTCGGGTGTGGTGGTGGACGGCTCTCCACTGTCTGACGTTGACTTGGGTTCTGAAACGGAAGAGAATGGGATAGATTGAGATTGATGTGTGATATGATGTGTGTGTGGGTGGGTGGATTGAGAGACGCTGACAGTGTCAGTGTTTGAGTGTGTCTGTTTTGTGTGTGTGTGTGTGTGACAGTTTCTGTGTAATTGTGTTGTTGTTTTTGGTGTTGGTGGTGTTTGTGTGTGGTGTGTGCCTGAGTGTGTGGTTGTGGCGTGGTTCAGAGAGAATGGATGAGATAGTCCTCAGTCACCACTGACCTGTGCTGTCATCGCGTGTCTTCCATGTGTGTCCATGTGAGGCAGAGTGGAGGTGGTAGTGATCTACTCAGTGCATCAGTGGTGTGGCTCAGTGTCATCCTCGAATCCTGCGATCTCTCATCCTGTGACCACGTCCAGTCGCCAACAGTCCGTCTTCGTCTCAACCATTACAGCTGGTCACTGGTGGCTTGGTTCTGCCAACACCATTGACGGTGGAGTATCACGTCGTTGTGTGTGTGTGCGTGCGTTCGTGTGTGTGTGTGTGTGTGAATTTCGGTATTGTATGCGCTGTCGTCTGTGAGTGTGACTGAGATGGTGTCTGTTGATGTGTGTATGTTTGTGTGTTTGTCTGTGACAAAGACTGTGGAGTCATTTGTCTTTGAGTTTGTTGGTGACGAATTGACTTGAGTGAGCGTGATGTGTGAGTAGAGTGAGATGTGATGTACACTGTTTGTCGGGGAGATGAAAGACTCCGACGTGCATAAGGGAGACAAGACGGAGGATGATCCGCGTCAGGGGAATGGAATTGAGTCGAGAGAGTAGTCGATGAGAGCTGATATGTTGAGTGAGATGTGTACTGGACGTGGGGACTTACGTTTTGGTGAGACGGTGGCTGGCGTCGATCTGGTTCGTTTGTGTGATGGTTTAGTGTGTCGTCGAGGTCGTCTCCTTCTCTTTCCGAACCTGTCAATGTAGTAGATGTAGAGATCGTCATCTTCGGGTGTGGTGGTGGACGGCTCTCCACTGTCTGACGTTGACTTGGGTTCTGAAACGGAAGAGAATGGGATAGATTGAGATTGATGTGTGATATGATGTGTGTGTGGGTGGATTGAGAGACGCTGACAGTGTCAGTGTTTGAGTGTGTCTGTTTTGTGTGTGTGTGTGTGTGACAGTTTCTGTGTAATTGTGTTGTTGTTTTTGGTGTTGGTGGTGTTTGTGTGTGGTGTGTGCCTGAGTGTGTGGTTGTGGCGTGGTTCAGAGAGAATGGATGAGATAGTCCTCAGTCACCACTGACCTGTGCTGTCATCGCGTGTCTTCCATGTGTGTCCATGTGAGGCAGAGTGGAGGTGGTAGTGATCTACTCAGTGCATCAGTGGTGTGGCTCAGTGTCATCCTCGAATCCTGCGATCTCTCATCCTGTGACCACGTCCGGTCGCCAACAGTCCGTCTTCGTCTCAACCATTACAGCTGGTCACTGGTGGCTTGGTTCTGCCAACACCATTGACGGTGGAGTATCACGTCGTTGTGTGTGCGTGTGCGTGCGTTCGTGTGTGTGTGTGTGTGTGAATTTCGGTATTGTATGCGCTGTCGTCTGTGAGTGTGACTGAGATGGTGTCTGTTGATGTGTGTATGTTTGTGTGTTTGTCTGTGACAAAGACTGTGGAGTCATTTGTCTTTGAGTTTGTTGGTGACGAATTGACTCGAGTGAGCGTGATGTGTGAGTAGAGTGAGATGTGATGTACACTGTTTGTCGGGGAGATGAAAGACTCCGACGTGCATAAGGGAGACAAGACGGAGGATGATCCGCGTCAGGGGAATGGAATTGAGTCGAGAGAGTAGTCGATGAGAGCTGATATGTTGAGTGAGATGTGTACTGGACGTGGGGACTTACGTTTTGGTGAGACGGTGGCTGGCGTCGATCTGGTTCGTTTGTGTGATGGTTTAGTGTGTCGTCGAGGTCGTCTCCTTCTCTTTCCGAACCTGTCAATGTAGTAGATGTAGAGATCGTCATCTTCGGGTGTGGTGGTGGACGGCTCTCCACTGTCTGACGTTGACTTGGGTTCTGAAACGGAAGAGAATGGGATAGATTGAGATTGATGTGTGATATGATGTGTGTGTGGGTGGATTGAGAGACGCTGACAGTGTCAGTGTTTGAGTGTGTCTGTTTTGTGTGTGTGTGTGTGTGACAGTTTCTGTGTAATTGTGTTGTTGTTTTTGGTGTTGGTGGTGTTTGTGTGTGGTGTGTGCCTGAGTGTGTGGTTGTGGCGTGGTTCAGAGAGAATGGATGAGATAGTCCTCAGTCACCACTGACCTGTGCTGTCATCGCGTGTCTTCCATGTGTGTCCATGTGAGGCAGAGTGGAGGTGGTAGTGATCTACTCAGTGCATCAGTGGTGTGGCTCAGTGTCATCCTCGAATCCTGCGATCTCTCATCCTGTGACCACGTCCAGTCGCCAACAGTCCGTCTTCGTCTCAACCATTACAGCTGGTCACTGGTGGCTTGGTTCTGCCAACACCATTGACGGTGGAGTATCACGTCGTTGTGTGTGCGTGTACGTGCGTTCGTGTGTGTGTGTGTGTGTGAATTTCGGTATTGTATGCGCTGTCGTCTGTGAGTGTGACTGAGATGGTGTCTGTTGATGTGTGTATGTTTGTGTGTTTGTCTGTGACAAAGACTGTGGAGTCATTTGTCTTTGAGTTTGTTGGTGACGAATTGACTCGAGTGAGCGTGATGTGTGAGTAGAGTGAGATGTGATGTACACTGTTTGTCGGGGAGATGAAAGACTCCGACGTGCATAAGGGAGACAAGACGGAGGATGATCCGCGTCAGGGGAATGGAATTGAGTCGAGAGAGTAGTCGATGAGAGCTGATATGTTGAGTGAGATGTGTACTGGACGTGGGGACTTACGTTTTGGTGAGACGGTGGCTGGCGTCGATCTGGTTCGTTTGTGTGATGGTTTAGTGTGTCGTCGAGGTCGTCTCCTTCTCTTTCCGAACCTGTCAATGTAGTAGATGTAGAGATCGTCATCTTCGGGTGTGGTGGTGGACGGCTCTCCACTGTCTGACGTTGACTTGGGTTCTGAAACGGAAGAGAATGGGATAGATTGAGATTGATGTGTGATATGATGTGTGTGTGGGTGGATTGAGAGACGCTGACAGTGTCAGTGTTTGAGTGTGTCTGTTTTGTGTGTGTGTGTGTGTGACAGTTTCTGTGTAATTGTGTTGTTGTTTTTGGTGTTGGTGGTGTTTGTGTGTGGTGTGTGCCTGAGTGTGTGGTTGTGGCGTGGTTCAGAGAGAATGGATGAGATAGTCCTCAGTCACCACTGACCTGTGCTGTCATCGCGTGTCTTCCATGTGTGTCCATGTGAGGCAGAGTGGAGGTGGTAGTGATCTACTCAGTGCATCAGTGGTGTGGCTCAGTGTCATCCTCGAATCCTGCGATCTCTCATCCTGTGACCACGTCCGGTCGCCAACAGTCCGTCTTCGTCTCAACCATTACAGCTGGTCACTGGTGGCTTGGTTCTGCCAACACCATTGACGGTGGAGTATCACGTCGTTGTGTGTGCGTGTGCGTGCGTTCGTGTGTGTGTGTGTGTGAATTTCGGTATTGTATGCGCTGTCGTCTGTGAGTGTGACTGAGATGGTGTCTGTTGATGTGTGTATGTTTGTGTGTTTGTCTGTGACAAAGACTGTGGAGTCATTTGTCTTTGAGTTTGTTGGTGACGAATTGACTCGAGTGAGCGTGATGTGTGAGTAGAGTGAGATGTGATGTACACTGTTTGTCGGGGAGATGAAAGACTCCGACGTGCATAAGGGAGACAAGACGGAGGATGATCCGCGTCAGGGGAATGGAATTGAGTCGAGAGAGTAGTCGATGAGAGCTGATATGTTGAGTGAGATGTGTACTGGACGTGGGGACTTACGTTTTGGTGAGACGGTGGCTGGCGTCGATCTGGTTCGTTTGTGTGATGGTTTAGTGTGTCGTCGAGGTCGTCTCCTTCTCTTTCCGAACCTGTCAATGTAGTAGATGTAGAGATCGTCATCTTCGGGTGTGGTGGTGGACGGCTCTCCACTGTCTGACGTTGACTTGGGTTCTGAAACGGAAGAGAATGGGATAGATTGAGATTGATGTGTGATATGATGTGTGTGTGGGTGGATTGAGAGACGCTGACAGTGTCAGTGTTTGAGTGTGTCTGTTTTGTGTGTGTGTGTGTGTGACAGTTTCTGTGTAATTGTGTTGTTGTTTTTGGTGTTGGTGGTGTTTGTGTGTGGTGTGTGCCTGAGTGTGTGGTTGTGGCGTGGTTCAGAGAGAATGGATGAGATAGTCCTCAGTCACCACTGACCTGTGCTGTCATCGCGTGTCTTCCATGTGTGTCCATGTGAGGCAGAGTGGAGGTGGTAGTGATCTACTCAGTGCATCAGTGGTGTGGCTCAGTGTCATCCTCGAATCCTGCGATCTCTCATCCTGTGACCACGTCCGGTCGCCAACAGTCCGTCTTCGTCTCAACCATTACAGCTGGTCACTGGTGGCTTGGTTCTGCCAACACCATTGACGGTGGAGTATCACGTCGTTGTGTGTGCGTGCGTTCGTGTGTGTGTGTGTGTGTGTGAATTTCGGTATTGTATGCGCTGTCGTCTGTGAGTGTGACTGAGATGGTGTCTGTTGATGTGTGTATGTTTGTGTGTTTGTCTGTGACAAAGACTGTGGAGTCATTTGTCTTTGAGTTTGTTGGTGACGAATTGACTCGAGTGAGCGTGATGTGTGAGTAGAGTGAGATGTGATGTACACTGTTTGTCGGGGAGATGAAAGACTCCGACGTGCATAAGGGAGACAAGACGGAGGATGATCCGCGTCAGGGGAATGGAATTGAGTCGAGAGAGTAGTCGATGAGAGCTGATATGTTGAGTGAGATGTGTACTGGACGTGGGGACTTACGTTTTGGTGAGACGGTGGCTGGCGTCGATCTGGTTCGTTTGTGTGATGGTTTAGTGTGTCGTCGAGGTCGTCTCCTTCTCTTTCCGAACC